TGTTCAAGTCATACCTTCTCCCTTTTAAGGATTAGTTTGGACCACTTTTGGGTTTTAACTTTTCAAAAATAAACTGATTTATGCTTTTTTTCCTAGATACATTGCTCAGGTGAGCGATGTGGCCCATGGGCCTCTTGTTTGAAAACATTTTGTCTGTTCAAATGGGATTCAAGTTTGTTCAAATGAAGGGTCATGCCCTCATTCAAGGGGAGATATTTGAGAAATGTTGAAAATATGGTGGCTTGATTTAAGACTCTTCTCAAGAACTACTGGACTAAAAATATTGAAACTCAAGGAAACCGTCTTTACATAGTGTAGATTCAAGTTTGTTCAAATGATGACACATGGGAGTAGGGTGGGTTCACAATGGGAGATCAAAGTTTTACAAACAAATAAATAGGGAATAAACTTTAAAAATCTTATTATCAAGGACAGCAAAGTCAAGATTAATCATATTGATATGGAAGCATTCTCGGATAGTGTAGATTCAAGTTTGTTCAAATGATAACCCCCGAGGGTAGGGTAGGGCAAAATGGGGGATCAAAGTTTTACATAGATATCTAGATGAAAAAAATTTTGAAGAACAGAAAAGCCATGATAAGTCATAAGTCAAACTTTTCAATACTGAACTGATACGTGTTTTTCCTAGCAATTGTGCTCAGGTGAGCGACGTTGCTAATGGGCTTCTTGTTGTCTATAACTCCACGGCAAGAATGTACTGATGTTTGTAAGATGAGATACAGGACTAATTAAGACAGATGGATGCTTAACAAATGATTCTGAAGAGTCTCTCTTCGCTAGGTATTTAATGCACAAATGATTTTATCAAAATATTCAAACTACCGTTAGAACCTAACCCGCTTTTTCCTCCAATCAGCAGCTGCTAAATTTTCTATTATGTTGATCACTTAATTCTGATTTTATGTCTATGCAGTAACTTCGCGGGCTGACTAATTAGCCAATGAAAAAGCGCGATTAGGTTCTAAGTAAGTTAGATCATATTAAGTAAAATTTTAGTGGTTAAGAAGGGGGCTAACCACTAAAATTTTACTTAATATGATCTAACTATTACATAAAAACTCATTGAAATGTTTTGAAAATTTTATTCTATATATGTTTAATCAAAGCGAAACTAACTGACAAAATTAGATTTCATCATGACCTTGGACACACAGTGCCTATACAAATATAAAATATTGTCATAGACAATATATAATTCTTAAAAATTGAAAAATAAATACGTAAGAAAATTTTAATTGTCATGAAAAAAAAATTCAAAATGTCGTATACTAGAAAAATTTTTAAATATTGCTTAAGAAAATTTGAGGTCTTCACAAAAGAAATAATAAAAAAATTATTTATAGAATAAAAAGAGTTTAAGGAAAAAATTCCAACGTATCCAATAAAAAAAAATGTTACTGACAATATGCATGTATGGTCTTTCAAAAAAAAATATAAAAACGAAAAAAAAAAATAAACAGATAAAAGCAACTGTCATGAAAAAAATGCGTCATTATCACAGACAATGTAATGAAAGACATGGTAGTTAAATCTCTGAGAATATCACAGATTTTCTCTTCTCAAGGAATCAGAACAGTTCATCGTGGTGTTGTAATTGTTTGTCGTAACACAGGGGTTCTGCAGCAATTATGACTGCATGAGTTAAGTTTAGCAGCACTATGACCGGAAGTTATGAAAACCTCGGCTCTTCTGGTGCAGACTGATTCCAGCAGCTGTAAGGTGACAATCCACCAAACAGGTCGTCCATGTTGACAGCGGGCAGACTTGATTTTGTCATCTGGAAAACAGAAAATATATTTATGTTTTTTTTCAATGAGTGATACTGTATATGAAAGTCAAGAGCATAAACACAAAAATGGACTTCCAAGGCTTCACGTAAACTTTAAACTTATATGTATAATTTAAAATATTTGTACATCAAATAAAAACTTTAATTTTTCGTTAGAAATTACTAAATTGGTAATTTCTATTGCACATTGAATAATTTATGAAGTATGAATGGGACCTACAGGTTGGCACGTGCTTTTTTCCTCGTTTATACTGGTGCCAGTCTGAGATTGGTTATGATTCTTGCTTTTGAGTTCAGCTTGTCTAGCCATCTGCTCAGCCAGAATCTTAAAGAAAATTGTATGCAGGTAAATATATTTATTTCTCACAATTAGTAACATTTTATCACTATTTAATCCAAAATCATACACTTGGAGCTTTACAATAGTTACCTGATCAAATGTCTGGTTGTGACTCTGGACATCAGTATGCTCCTGATACATTGCGTCATGATTTTGGTGACGCTTTGTGGCATGCGTCTGTGAACGCTCGTCTTTGTTGTAGCGTCTGTACAATGCGTCACGTCTTTGCTCCTGATTTACAGACTGACGACTTTCTGTCGAATATTGTTCAGCAATCATTGACTGTAAGAAAGAAGGCGTATTAATTTTATTGATACACAATATATAATACAAGTATAACTGTACATGTATATGTTACATAATATTTAAATTTCCAATGCCTTTGTCCGAGATAAAATTACATAGTAAATGCCTTCGGCGTTTATGCAAATTATCCTGCAAGCAACTCTATTGATCACATCATGAAACCAAGAAATAAGACAGTTATTCCTTAAATAAACATAATAATACACTTAAGCAAAGTAATTTTTTTATTCTGAGCTACAGATTACTAACCTTGATTTTATTTTTGTCCCCCGCTTGAAAAGTGGGGGATATTAATTTGGGTTTGTCCGTCCGTCCGTCTTTCTGTCTGTCTGTAACGCTTTCGTTTCCACATGATATCTCGAGAACCCTTTGAAATTTTGCATAGCAACTCCCTGTGGACTAAAGAAGACCCCTATTGATTTTGAGGTCAAAAGGTCAAGGTCATAAATTCGCAAATTCTGTCTGTTATAACACTTTCGTTTCCGCGCGATATCTCGAGAACCCTTTGGCCCTTTGCAATAAAATTTCACATAACAACATCCTGTGGCTTAAGGGTGACCCCTATTGATTTTGAGGTCAAAAGGTCAAAGTTCAAGGTCATAAATATAAACATTCTGTTTGTGTGTAACACTATCGTTTTCGGGCGATATTTCAAGAGGATTTTGAGCTTTTGCAATGTAATTTTATACCAAAAGTCCCTAGGACCTCTCTCACCCCTCTCAAAGTGTCCCGCCCCTAGTATTTTTTGTATTACATGTCGCTATTTTTTAGCACAGGGGCATGAAGGAGAGTTATTACGTATAAAACAGGTTCTCGGCGGATTTTATATTCTTATTACATCTATTAGAACTGTTTAATAAAGGTTAAATTAGACACCATGCATTGTGTAAAATTTTGACAATATATCGAACGTGAATATATACATGTATGTGACTTAATATTTGCATATAATTATCCTCACGTTACAGCGGCTCCGTGGTCTAGCGGTAGGTGTCTCGCTTCACATGTGAGAGGGCCAGGGTTCGCATCCCGGAAAATCCGGTTTTTTTTCGAAATACTTTTTTTAAAAATAAATAATAGTATTCAGCGTGTGAAATGAAAAATTTATGAGGTCTGGCTTGTACAAACTCATACAATCATCATTACAGTGTGATAAATATTCCATATAAAAAGAATCTTCAATGTGTACACATAATAAAGAATAATCAATCAAACCTTTATATCCATATTAGCATATTTTATTTGCTTCAGTATACATTTAATAATTCTTAAAATTCAGTCAAGGGTATCCGAACCCACCCCCACCCACCCACCCACCCACCCCCCGACCCCCGAACTGCGCATGGTTTACTTTTTCCCTAAGCGGGGGACACAAATTCTCTGAATTAGCTTGTTATATCTCTCTTTGTCAGAAAAAAATTCTTTAAAAAAAGATGTTAGCGGCTGATACTACAGAGCTAGAGCTAAAACCTTTCTTACCCAATTGCATGCCCGTTTCTCCGGATTCTCAGCCAATGTAGAACCAGACCCTGGTCTTTTGTTATTTGTTGGTTGGCCTGTGAATGACTTTGAAATGGGCGCAGTGAATGTGGCAGGTATAGACGTAGCATTAATTACAGAATCCGTTGATGCAGGTCCTTGTAAGGACTTTGATGACTTGGTAGTTGGGTCCCAGCCTTTTGGAGCAAAGCTTGGGACATATCTTTGAGGTTCAACATTTGTTGCCAAATGCTTATTCTATATAAAGAAATAAATATCACATTCAATTTAGTAATATTCTTACTAATCATATTTTAAAAAACGAATTTCTCCTCCTCTAACGTCAAAAGAAGGTTGCAGCTTTCGGCTTTTATGTTAAACTATTCATAATAAAATTATTAAGATAACTTTCATGTGTTAAAAACTTAGGCAAATGAAATTGAAATATAAATCTTAATGTTAATTTTTTTTTACATTTAATCGTACATGCCATTTGTATACTTCAAGTTATTAATTAAAAGTACTCACCATCTGAGTGTGTGAGACCGCCTGGTGTCTCTCACTCATCTGATTGGTCAAATGTGCCTGGTGTCTCTCACTCATCTGATTGGTCACATTTGTCTGGTGTCTCTCACTCATCTGATTGGTCACATTCAACGCGGACGTTTTGGCCTCTGATACAGTGTCAATCTTTGATGACTGTTTGTCAGCTGACACAGCTATCCTGAAATCTCTAGCTTGCGAGTTAGTTGTCTTGGATTCTTGGTCGAAAAAGTCATTTGTTGGTGCGTCCCATGCTGGTAAGACCCTCCTTGCCGACTCTTGCTCTGGTTGAGAATCCGCCGTTTTGTCCTCCCGAGCTGGTGACCTACTTCTGGGTGATGAGGGAGGACTGTCCAGATAACTGGTTAACCCCAGGTCCTCCAGTGTGGGAGTGGGGTGATACATTAGTGTCATGTAATCTGGAGGGGCGTACCTGTTGATGGGCTTCACCTGAGGCTGAAATTAATTATGGAATAATAAATGCCCTGATAAATAAGTATTACAAATCTTGTACCGGTAAGTCCATATGTCTAAAGGATTTACATATTATAATTTTTAAAAAAAATGCAAAATACTTTACCTCTTTACGCACCACTCTCTGCTGAGGTTGCTGTGCATGTTGAGGTTTGTGAGAAGCAACTGTGCTCATAGACTCAGTCCTTGTATATAGATGAGTAGGATGCACTCTATGTTGCTGGGGAATGTTGTTCCCAATCACATAGATAGGTCTTGTCTGAGTTTGGTACCCATGTGGGCGAGTAGGTTGCGCATGTTGTTGCGGCTGATATTTGTTGCTGCTAGGTACCACGCCTGTCGTATAATGAGCTTGTTGCTCATAAGGACGATGGACCGGAGCATATTGCGGTCGGTAGGTGGCAGCAGTATTCACATATGCAGCTCTTTCATTGTATCTGTTTTCATGAGGATAGTTTTGTCTGAAATGATGTGGCGCCTGCCTTTCTCTCTGCTGAGACTGATTCTGAAATAAACACAACTGTGATACTAACAGTTTATTAACAACCAAGAAAATTTTACAAATATCATGTACTATTTTGTTTTAGAGTGAGGAACAAAAATTTTTCTTAACTGACCCACTGTTGTCCCACTTTGTCGTGTCTTTGAGTGGGCGTGGTGGTCAGGGGAGCTGTGTGGCTCGCCTGTTGAACAGGACGTTTCTTTGGCGGCCCAGCCTGTAAAGAAATAAAAAAATAAATTATAGGTATTACTATTATAAAGTGTCATTGTCGTGCTTGTTGGAAAAATAAATTAAAATTCGATGACGTCCCTCTCTTTTTTGAACATTTTTACTATTAATAATTATTGCTAAGATAACAGAATATAGAAGCTACAGTACCGTAATAATGTGTACAATTATTTCATTTATGCAATCTATTTAATCAATATCACCTCATTAATTAAATTAACTTACTTTTCAGATTTATGATACACGTAACATGTACATAAATAAAACAAGAGGCCCAGGGGCCACAGCGCTCACCTGAGCACATCGGGCTTGAATTTACTCCCCTCCCCCCCCCCCCCCTCCAGGCGGTCATCATTTGAACAAACTAGAAACTACACTACATGAGGATGATTCCATATAAATATCACTAATCATATTAAGCTTTACAGTACTTGAAAAGAAGATTTTAACAGGTTTCCCTATATTTCATTATGTAAAACTTGGGTCGGCCATTTTGGACCCATCCTACTCCCGGGGGTCATGATTTGAACAAACTTGAATCTACACTACCTGAGGATGATTCCACATGAGTTTCATCTTTCCTGGCCCATTGGTTCTGGAGAAGAAGATTTTTAAAGATTTTTCCTATATATTCCTATGTAAAACTAGGGTCGGCCAATTTGACCCCACCCTTGCCCCGGGGGTCATGATTTGAACAAAATTGAATCTACACTACCTGAGAATAATTCCACATGAGTTTCGTCTTTCCTGGCCCAGTGGTTCTAGAGAAGAAGATTTTTAAAGATTTTTCCTAAATATTCCTATGTAAAACTTGGTTCGGCCATTTTGACCCCACCCTTGCCCTGGGGGTCATGATTTGAACAAACTTGAATCTACACTACCTGAGGATGCTTCCACATGAGTTTCATCTTTCCTGGCCCAGTGGTTCTGGAGAAGAAGATTTTTAAAGATTTTTCCTATATATTCCTATGTAAAACTTGGGTCGGCCATTTTGGCCCCACCCTTGCCCCGGGGGTCATGATTTGAACAAACTTGAATCTACACTACATGAGAATGATTCCACATGAGTTGCGTCTTTCCTGGCCCAGTTGTTCTGGAGAAGAAGATTTTTAAAGATTTTTCCTATATATTCCTATGTAAAACTTGGGTCGGCCATTTTGGCCCCACCCTTGCCCCGGGGGTCATGATTTGAACAAACTTGAATCTACACTACCTGAAGATGATTCCACATGAGTTTCATCTTTCCTGGCCCAGTGGTTCTGGAGAAGAAGATTTTTAAAGATTTTTCCTATATATTCCTATGTAAAACTTGGGTCGGCCATTTTGGCCCCACCCTTGCCCCGGGGGTCATGATTTGAACAAACTTGAATCTACACTACCTGAGGATGCTTCCACATGAGTTTCATATTTCCTGGCCCAGCGGTTCTGGAGAAGAAGATTTTTTAAAAATGCCATTAATTTTTAACAAATTCATGATTATCTCCCCTTGGAAAAGGGCGTGGCCCTTCATTTGAACAAACTTGAATCCCCTTCACCCAAGGATGCTTTGTGCCAAGTTTGGTTGAAATTGGCCCAGTGGTTCTTGAGAAGAAGACGAAAATGTGAAAAGTTTACGGACAGACGGACAGACAGACAGACAGACGGACAGACGGACAGACGGACGCCGGACAAAATGTGATCAGAAAAGCTCACTTGAGCCTTCGGCTCAGGAGAGCTAAAAACAGAGACCTCCTGAGTCTGCCCGGAAGTAGAGGACGGGGCCAAAATGTCCAGTCCCAACCTCTTGTAAAAACTCGAGGCATCTTCCGGGGCAGGGCAGGTAACATCCACTCTTTTCTGAAATACAGATTAAAAAGATCTTTATTTGACTTGTGAATTCGTGCTTTTATGTAAGTATGTGTATTTACAAATCAAGATATTCGTATACATATGCATATGCGTATTTAACTACTTTATCAAACACATTCACATTTCTTTAATATTGAAGAGCAACACAGAAAAAGGTTTTAAATCTTTATTCCTCATGCAAAATTTGTTAATTATTTTTCACATTTTTACAAACTTAGAAGACTTTTTTCCTTGGAAATCTAATAGTAAACATGCGCGGATCCAGATGGGGAGGGGGAGTCTGGACCCCCTTCCTCGAAATTTGTGGAATTATTTTAAAAATATACATAAATTGTACTGAAGTAATTACAAAATTAATGTAATCCCCCTTTCCCTAGAGAACAAAGCACTGTTATGAAGTTGGAAAAGTCGTACAAGTGAAAATGCTCAGACCCCCCTCCCTTTCCCAAGCCACACACACCACTTTCACTGATCAGTTTTTCTTTCACGCTTGGTAAAGTTGCTTATGGGTTTTAGGTGATTTGTAAGTAACTAAAATTTATTTATGGATTTTATGCCTAATTTTAACCTAGCCCCCAACCCCTTTCCGGAAAAAAAAATCTTGGACCCGACACTGCAACACAACGTCAGGCAACGGTTACCATGACGTCGTCATTGACAAAACCAAACATGACAACTTAGTGTCACATAATATCTTTCCAAAAGATCTCTAGCTATGACAAAGTATAGCCTAGCTATTGACTAAAAATCAAACAATTAATAGGATATATCTCTATTTTCAAAATATTTGCAAAGTTGCATTTTTGATTTTAAACCCTGGAATTTGAATATCAGCTTATTTCGCGGACTTCTTGACGTAAACATAAGACCTCGATTAGACAAAAAAAAAAAGTAAAAAATGAAATGTAACAAACGTTGGTTATCTTCCTTTATTAAAATTATTACTGCACTGAGTTTGAAGGAGGCAAATGAGAGAAGAGAGTGTTTATAAGCTATGGCAAACACGTCAGATCTCCAGATTTTACGGCAAAAAGCTTGTTCAGCTATTCCTACAAAGTAACCCACAAAAATAACATGACAAATCTTGGCATTACCCTCTTAAGATCACTTTTATTCATCTTCAAGACTTGACTTGCTCTTTTGACAGTAGAAATTTCGTAGAATATTCGCTTGACTGAAAACACGTCTTGTCTCTTTGACTTGTGCTTCAGAACTGAGCAGTAACTACAACAGACAACGTCAGACCAAGCAACTGCAACGTCATAAACGATGATGAGGGCCAATGAAACAAGGCGGTCTATCAGCTCCCTACCCCTACCCCACCCCCCACCCCAAATAAGATTTTTGAAAAGTTGCCTCCTTCACCACCATAAAATATTCTGGTCAACGATTCTGCATAAATTCTTCGATTGAAAAGAAAAACTTTCACCACTCACCACTCTTGAACTGCTGTGACTTACCTCCTGTTAGACCTCTAACTGTTGGCCTATTAAGAGTCATTCTCTGTAAGCATCAAAATGGGCTGGAAATTGATTTTCACGGATTTTGCTGAAACTTTTTGAAATAGTTACATTATAAGCCCAATTTACAAAAATATTATTAAAAGTGATCAGTTGGTCTTGTTTCCATGGCAACCAGGTTACCTGTTTTTTCACATAGTGGTAAATACCTAAAATGATATTTCTTCCCATTCATGTACATTTAATTAAATAAAGGTGATTATTCTTATTTTTTCCTTTGAAATAATTTGTTATTTGTATTTTCTATTAAAAAAAGTTGAAAAATTTTTTTGGACCTGCTGTTAAATGCCAAATAACATTAAAAAAAATGCTTTAAAAAAGGGGGGTTAAACATAACAATGTGTACAAAAAACGCAGGCACTGGTGGAATATTCTGATGCTCTGAATTTCACCTTATACATTTATGAAGAACATATGAAAAAACTGGAGAGGTATTATTTACTTTAAGAAAATAAATTGATTGTAAAGTTTGTAAAAATCTCTAAATTTACACACATTTTTGACAAGAGTTATTTCCCCTTTCGGAAATCTTTTGCTTAAATCAGTGAAAATGAAAGTGAAAGTACACAGCAGAAAACGACTTTGAGGAGTAAATACTGTCTGTTTTGGATATTTTTAGGGGTTTTAATCCAACTTGTGAAGTATTTAACATCACCCATAGTTAAACTGTTAAATGATTGTTCAGGCTTTACTGTGACTGAGAGATATACATGTTTGTGTATAGATGTGATAAACTCAAAAATGGATTGCATCCTATGAAATATATCTGCCTCTGTGACAACAAGTGCTGCATCATTGAAAAAAAACTGTTTAAAAACAAAGTAACATCAGTTAAATAGACTTCAGAGCTAAGGGTGGGATAATAAGGTTGTGATGAAGAAATATACATGGCAATAAGAAGATCACTAGGCAAGTACCAATGAAATATTTACCACGTACATTGAAAGTTGCACATATTTTGTATGAGTTTATTAATAATAGGGTATACCTATTTATTTTTGAAGAAATATTAAATTACCCAAAGCATAAATAATGACATGATTCTAATTATATCAATAATTTATTATCAGTCTTATTAAAATCAGATGTTGATGAAAATTATATAAACCGTCTGTTGATAAAAATTATATATGTTAACCAAATTAAACTAAATTATATAAAGCAATTCGGTATATATGATAAAAGCTAAATACCTCACAACAGCTTTTTAATTGTTTGCTTGAAAAAAAAGGGGGGCGGTTTAAAAAGTTATTGCCCTGTAAGGTATTTCATCAATTTTTAAAAGAATTAATTTCATTTATTAATCATTTCTTAAATTAATTAATTTTATTTATTTCACATGTTGACTTTATGAAATCACATCGCTAAACTGAACACGTGACAAAACTGCGATTTTCTCTTAGATTTCAATTTTTGCAGGGTTGAAATTTGTTGATGCAAGTTTTTTTTTTGAATGGGTCGATGATTGTGAATGAATGTGCCCTTTCATTTAAGAACTTGAAGTTATTGCAAAAAAATTAAAGAACGTAGGAATTTATTTCTTTAAAATAAGATTATTTTATGCAAAATAATTTAATTTATAATTTATATTAAGATTTTTTGTCATAGCAAACACTACAACAGTTGAATTTATGCCAAATTTATAATACAATGTGTACACTTTACTGAAACAATATATAATGAAGGAATACATTAAAGTTTATAGGGAAATACGGCAATTTTCAGTGGAGAGGAGTTCATTGTACGTGCATGCAGAAAATGGGGATATGTAAAATGGTCGTTGTTGAAATAATTATTTATGTGCCCAAATTATAGCAGAGAAAAAAAAATTATATTTGATTTTGTCATATTTTATAAGGACATCTCAGTATTCCATTTATCACAGGCTTTATGTTCTGGAAAATATTTTTAAAAAGCTTTCCAAATAGTTTTATATAAAAATAAGTTATTTAACTTGAAAAAAATACTAATACAAATAAATCACCCCCCCCCCCCCTTTTGTAACATATTGGAGGAGGCGTGGTAACATTTTATCCCCCCCCCCCCTCACTTTAATCCCCCAGAAAACCATTTCAGATCATTATATTTTTCCTGCCAGATATCGATGAGGTTCTCTGTAGATTGAATTTCAAAAGCTTATAGGGAGTTCACTCCCAGGGGCATAGCCCCTACGGATAGTGATTTGGAACTAATAAGAGTGGCGGTGGTATGTATAATTATATACTTTCAATCTAATTGCACTTTCCCAAATACTTATTTTACCCTCTGTGCCTTAATGAGGAAGAACAAAATCACAAAATCTTTAAATTACATACTGAATTTTGATTGTCATTCTTAATGTGTATGAATCACGCTTATCTCAGCTGGGAAACTTCAACATTTTTTTTTATGTACGGTATGGACAGACACACGGATAAACAGGAAATTGACATCAGATTTAAGAAACTCAAATGTTACCCACCAATGCCACAATGCATGCCTTAGCAAATACTGTGCTAAAATTTCAAGCATTTTCAATGAATAGTGATACATGTGTAATTGCTGAGAAAACTGCAACCAAACATTTGCTACGTTCAGACATACAGACAGATGGACGGACTGACACACAAAGGTAAATCAGTATACCCCCTCTTCTTCGTAGCGGTGGTATAATAATTCCTTACGAAAGGAACAGCAAAAGATCATTTCAATAACAGCAAAAACAAGTTGAATGGAGGAGGGTGGGGGGGGGGGCACTCTTGACTATGTGCTTGTCCTACTAAACTAAGAAGTGCATGTACACGTTAAAATATGTTATATATGTTTCAATTAATAGAGCAAGTTGCTTCCAAAAGATTGGTCATGATTTTATGTCGGTATTTATTGTTTCCATGGAAACAAATCCTGATGCAGTAATTCAGATATATGTCAGTCTGTTTTTGTCCCGGTAAATAAATGAAGTAGAAATATAAACAAACATTGGTGGCAATGCTATGAGTTTTGTATACTGGTACATCAATACTTATTTGGATCATTCCTGAATTATTTGATTACCATAGCAACTGTTTTTTTTTTTAAATTATGAATTTATAGTCTTTTTTCATGTTAGTGAAAGGACAAGGTTTATGGAATTTATTTTATTGAAGAAGACACATAATCGTCCAATAAAGCAGTAGATTTTGTATATAAAACATATCAATGAAAAGGATTTTCCTGAACTATTGGCTGCCATAGCAACCATTTTTAAAAATAAATTATGAATTACTATTTTGATATTTAGTGAAATACAATTAAATTCAATTTATTTTACTGAAAAAGAGAAAAAAAATAATGAATGAAGCTATGATATTATTTGTTGTAAACTTGTCAATATAACAAAATTTGTGATAGCAACCAATATAAGGAAGTGTTCAAAAACTATCTGGTTACCATAGCAACGTGATTTTAGACGCTTGAATTTTTATTTATTTT